ACCAAGATAACATGATGACCTAATGTGTACAGAAGTATTCATCTTACAATAAATTCTGAGATTAATATGATTGGTTGCAAATAAACCAATTGGTTGGGCATTTTCCTCTAGATGCGTTGGAATGTTTCTCCCATCATCCACAGCCAACACACTCAATTACAGTGCATGTTGAAGATGACAAAGTGTGGTACCATACTTCGACACATTGCTGGCTTGGGGGGAGGGGTTATTTAAAGCAAAGTCTAATGCAGACATTTTATATGGTGTTAAAGATGAAAACAATAAAATCTACCTAACGAAAGGATACACATCTTCATCTGTCTTATCAGCCTTAGTGCACAAAAGCCTTAGTGCACATTAGCCTTTATGTCCAAAAGCTCTTTATTGACTTTTCTAGGAATTTTACAAAGAACTGAAAACAAGATGCATGCAGAAGCAAACTGCTCTTAAAAGTTTGTCATTCTTACACCTGTGATAAACTGCTCATCCTTTGCTGCATCAAATCACTCGGTAAAGCGCAGATGACCTCATACAGTAATGATGGGCAGCTTATTGGGCTGCATGTGGCCATCCAAGCCATTTTATGTTGATCCCAGGGAACTTAGAACTCATGTGATTATAGTGGCAAAGAACCAAGAAAGAGAGGTGGGGTTTTCCAAATGAAAGAATATGTTAGTGAACAACAATTCTCTCTTAGAATTAACACCTCCCTCCAATATTTATATTAAGAAACTGTCAACTGCTTCCAAATAAAACAAATCCAAATCCTGCTAGCTAACATAGATTTCAGCTGACACACTATATTTTTCAAGTAAACTTTCAATTTTTAAAAAGCTCCTCCTCTGTGATAGAGAAAAGCATACAGAGTCTGAGGAAGGTGAGTATTTTAAAGCATTTTAGACTGATGGCAATAAAATTGGCTCTGGATCTTACGCAAGTGGTCTATGCAGGAAAAAAAAATCTGTCGCTCTTGGTTCTGGAATTGATTGCTTTATTAAATTTCCCAAATCACTCCTGGAATCTCCAAGAAGTGTATTTTTCCTTTGGAAATAGTTGTAATGCATTAAAGGCACATCTCCATTAAGAACTCCTAAAGTTGCATCTCCCACAAAAGGCCATCGTTTTGGGCACAGCTCTTACCCAAAACAGATTATCTGTCTGCTAGGCTCAATACTATCCTTAGGTATCTCTCCAAGATTCTGCCGCGGGTTGACCTTGAAACTTTTGCTTTTCAAGCAGGGACAAGTTTACTGAGCAATAGTCCTTCCTCAGTTTATTTTTACTGCAGGGTTAACCATTCATTTGTTTTATTTTGATTACAAACAGCTAAAGACAATGCATGTGGGGGGGAGGTTGGGATTTGCATATTGGAAATTGTGAAGGCTGATGAAAGGTAAAAATGAATGTTCACATTTGTAAAAAAAACAATTTCATAGGTTGAAGCTGTACTAGGGTGATGTACAGTAGATGTAGACAATATAGAAAACATTGATATAATATTCTGATGGGAGATGTCATGGTTCAATTCTAAAAATGCTTTTTTCCCCCCAAAATGAAATCCCACTGAGTCTCAAAGGGACTTACTCTGAGGAAAATGAGAATAGATTGCAGCTTTATTGCAGAAAACAAAAAATAACTGAAAAGGGCTTAACCTTTGGAAAAATCATGTCTTTTTTTTTTAATTCCTTTACTTTTTTGAGGATGTTAACCATATATGCCATGCAAAACCTCTGCAATCTCGAAATCTCCATCCATACGTGAGCTGAAGATGGCCATCTCCTTCGCCTTGGTGCTAATAAAGTCTGACAGGTGAATTTCACACTGATATTTTTTTTTCTAGGATTTTCTTCTGTGGATAATGTGCTTGTGGTGGTTTGTCAATAACTGAAAAACAGCATTATATCAAGTCTTTTCACATTTTAAACATTCAAAGTAACAGGTCGTGGAAAAGCTGCTTATATCTATTTTAAATTCTTCAGACAGTATTCCAACATGGGTATAACAGATTGATCTCGATGAAAGAGTTGTGTTACTGAAATAATTGCTTTTCCTCTTGAAAAATACAAGCTCTTTAGGAATTAAGTTGCATCAGTCTCGGTATATGAGTCATAGTAAATGACTGGGGGTGGGGGAAGTTGTTCTGGAACCTTTAAAGGAAGATATTGGGAATGTGAATATATTCAGGATAATGATTAAGTTGGCTGGTCTACGGGGTAGGCAGCAAAGTACAGTCACTTGTTTCTTTTGGATTAATACAGGAGTGCATAAATATATGTAGGTTAGGTGTTTGTACTCTAAAGTTGTTGTTGTCCATCAGCTAAATTCAAGAATTTGTTTAATCAAATTTTGCAATTTATCTTAGGGGTTCTGGCAACCAAACAGCCTCAGTTTCCAAAACAGTGGGCATTTTGCATTTCGATAAGACAGTAGCCTTCAAAGCTTCAAAGTCCATGCTTGGTCTTTTAGCCTAGCCTGTTGATAGAACAGCCTACTTGTCTTCATTAACTTTCATTTCCTCGATGTCTACTTTTATCATGATTAAACTACTAGAAGTAAACCAAAGACTGATTCTAAACCAACTACAATCACTCAATTTTGATGGGAAATGAGACTCTTGTTCAGAAGCATGGTGAAATCATGTCATATAAAAGAGTATTATCTATTTTAAGTCTGTGTGATTCATATTCTTCGGTAAAATACAACTCATTAGTCTTAGTTTAGTTTGTAAGCTTCCTAACATAGAATCTGGGAGGAGAAACAGTTTCAGCTGTTCCTTTCCATATAGAATCTGGAAAGGAAAGCAGTTTTTTTCAGAATAGCAGAGTTCCATTTTACTTATGAAAGGATCTTAACTGATCCTTTCATAAGTAAAATGATATATTTTTGAGAAATATATCCTTCACCTGATTAGATTTTGGAATGGCAGCCATGCAGAACAATAAATAGACCAGACACACATTCATACTATCTACAAGATATGTTGAAATGTACTTACTTCAGGGAACTAGTGATTTCCCACCTTTTTTTTTCCTGTTAACAAAAATTGTTTTATGGGAGGCTAAATGATACGTACACACTCTACAACATGGCAAGATAAAAATAGGCATTATTTGAACCTCTGCAATGTGATAATTTTCTGTGTGCTGCCCAATTGCTAGGCTCTTTCAAAATTAGCTCTATATCCACAAAAATATTTGATATAAAATTCTTTCTAGCCAGTTAATATTCAGTTGGAGACCAAACCATCAGAAAACGGAAAGTTGAGGACTTATACACACATGTATCAACACTGGCTCTGTTTTATCTGTATAAGATAAGATGCCACCGAAAAGCATTGTGCTTGAAGTAATGGGAACTCAATGGTTCTTCGGGGAAATTTGGCTCATGCATGCAAATCAGCAAGGAATGCGGGAACAAGTTCTCCAATTCTCAAGTTATACCTGTGTCACCTTGCTTATGTTACTCAGTGAATACAAGGCCATAATACTCACTGCAAAGTGTTTGTAAGTTCTAATTAGTTTATGTAAGACCCCAGAGCAAAACAAAATTTAGAGTTTCAGAAAGCAATTCCAAGATACATGCTCTCCAGGCACAGAACTGCCTCAAACTTTATGTGTATGTATGCTTCTGTGTCTCCTGATCTCAAATAATCTCTGAGAAGCTCCTTAGTAGATATCCATTCTGGTTAATGTCTTGCTCCAAATGATTGTCTTGATATTTTTTTCTTTCTCTTTCATATTTTACTTACATTATAAAACTTTTATTTGTGAAGGCCTTTAGAATGATCTTAATCTCCTAAAAAAGGTTAAACAAATTAGAGTTGCCTCCCTTTCCTCAGAGGAAAACTTGTGGATTGCTACAACAGTATAAGTAATGAGGTTCTAAATTGCTTAGGAGAATGCCATAGTATTACATATGCTAAAAAATAAAAATAAAAAGACCCAGCATTGGACTTCATGCTGCATTACAGGCATTGTTAAACTCCTATAGAAATTAATGTCATGTAAAGTAAATAATATTTCATTTTTCTGATCAGAAGAAAATACACCTTGTGCTTAGCTGGTATAGATTCATAATTTGAAAGGTTTTCTGCACCTTGAACTGACACCTAAAAGTAGCGGAAGGGTGTAAAATGCCTGTAATTATCCTTTTGGTGTGGATTTTAAATCCATGGTGCATTCCTACTAGCTGCAGGTCTGTGTTCTTTTTTGTTGTAGTTGCATTCTTCTTGAATGACAATTGAGTGGTTGCCCAGAAAAGGGAGCTAGCTATGGGATCCCTGATTCCTGCTATACCCAATCAGGAACATAGTTATAATCCCTCTGTTTACTAAGATTGAGGTGGGGGCTTTGGTGTTGTATTTTCACTTTTTTTTTTTTTTTTGCCTCACAGTAGCACATGGTTCACTTAACTGAGTGACAAAAACAACTTTAGAAAGAATAATGAACATACAGGGGTTGAGATCTAAAGAATCAGCAGGTCTTGCTTTGGGGATTGTTACTGCTTCCTTGTAGCTGGATGTCAACCAGGAGAAGGCATCAGCAAAAGATCCTGTGATCCAGTTGAGAGGAAATAACAGATGCTCAAAAGCTATGATGTAGGTAAGAAACAAGGGCACCTCTGAGCTGCCTTACCATGTAACCTTAATAAGGCATAATGTAGACAAGAAGTTGCAGACAGAAATAAAAGTGGGAAGGGTAAAAACTGAAACTACTTAGCAACTTTCTGTCCCTTCAGTAGTTGGAAATATTGCATTGATTTCTGTTGCTTAGCTGGTTAGAGTCAAGCAAATGAAGAACAACGGTCATGCCGCCTGTGAGAAGATGTAGGGTTGTCAAGGAGCAAAAATCAGTTTAGTCATTTCAACATGTGCTAGGATCCAACTGGGCAGCCGAGCCCCGTGAAGAGTCAGTGAATTTGTCCTTGTTTTAGCTGGCACCACTAACATCATACAAAGACTAAACACAACAGTGTGCTGTATTCAGAAGCAGCTCCTCCTATCATTCCCCTCTTTCAAATACAAAGCAAATAAAATATATATATTTATATATTTATACATTATATTATCGTATTTTCTTTCAGCTTTACAGAAAACAAATTGTGGATTCCCCTTCTAAAATAATGGAAACTTTCTTTCATTGAAGATTGATTGTTGTCCCTTATTGGGGGTGGCTTAGCACGTTTTCAGGCCAAAAGAACAGGACTGACTATGGCAAATCTGAAGGAAGCAGAATACTTTAAAAAGGAGGATGGTCCATTTCATCAAGCCAGGAGGCAGGACTTGTTGGAAAGTCTGGATAACCAACGCTGCTTCCAGTGGAAATATCGGATGTTGGGCCCCCAGCCATAGCTCTGAGTGTCTGGCTCACCCCCTGCCCTCCATGTGCTATTATTCCTAAATTATTGTCCATTGTGTATTCCAAACCATTTAGCAATGGAGTATGCGATGGAAGAGATGATATGGAAGCTGGAGATTGCGGGATTCCATAAGGACTTCCATCCCTCAAGTCCTGATAGGATTGTCCTGTCCCATCCAGAGAGAAACTACCATTCAGTAGTTGTCCACCAGCCACCTCACCACCGTTGCTGTATATCCTGTTGTGGCCCAGTTCTGAGAGGATTTGGTCTTCTGAAAAGCAAGAAACAAAATTTTAGTACGGAAAAAAAATCTCTATCTGGTACATTCCGATCAAAGACTGAAAAATACCTTTAAGTCAGGGATGAAGAATGGTAGGCTTTTTAGCTATTGCAAGATTACATCTCATATCATCCCTCATTATCAGCCATGCTGATTTGGCATAATAGAAAACAGAATCTAGTAATGTTTGAAAAAACAGTTTGCATTTTTCCATGCAAGGTTGTTATTTTTTTGCCACAAAAAAAAATATTTATTTATTTATAATACCTTTTACTTATAATACCAGACATCCAGCTAAAGTACTTGTAGAATTTTGACACACATAAAATGCGGAAACAGCATTTTACCCTCCACAATATCAAGGTTTCCCTGCATCTTGAAAAAAACCACCCGGATTTGACCAGCCCCATGCTATATGGACAACACTGAATTGAATTCACAATGGCATGGTAGATGTGCTGATGCTCTCTATACTGAGGCAAAATACCTCACTGAATTGTGACTGTGAGGCCGAAAAACAAACTATATCTGTCACGTATAGTGATAAGAGTGCCAAAATAGATCCTATCATGGAGACTTTGTTGATTTCCAGGCTGCAGCAAATGAAGCAAAAATTATATCTGTAATCTAGACATATGTTCATTATTTATTTATTTAATTTAATTTTTATACCGCCCTACTCCCGAAGGACTCAGGGCGGTGAACAGCCACAAGATAAAAATATATCATACAAAAGTTAAAAACCATTTAAAAGTACATTAAATAATTTTGGCCCAAAAAATGAATTTAAAAACACCCAGTTTGTATTTCAATAATAATATTTTATATTATTATCTCTTGTGTTTTTTTAACTGAAATATGATGTGAATGTGCCATACAATAAACAATAATAAAACTCCCCAGATAAGCAAGATCTCCTGGACCAAAATCTATACAAAGGTCAACTATGAATCAATTTAAAGGCAATCAAATTGCTCCTGATTGCAAATTGCCACCTACAGTATATTCTTTTAAGTACAATAATTACAATATATACCGGTATATATACTAAACAAACCATGTGCTTATAAAGAAAAAACAGTTATAACACCTCTGTTCACAGTCACTCATGCTGTAGTCACCTCCCATTTAGATTTGTTAAAGACTGAGCATGACCAGAAACTGTGGAATAACAGCTGATAATTGGAAAAAGGAAAGTGAAGCTGGGAAAAAGATAAGGGAAAGTAGAATAAGGTAGCCAGCAAAAACCATGATTGGCTGGCTCCTTAAACAGGAACATTTTGCACTTCAAGCTTTATTGCAGGTTTTCAGCGTATGGTCAAAAAGATCGAGATGGCGGCTGCAATGGTGACATTGAATTTTTTTTTTTTTAAGTGCATGAAGTGTGTAACCCCATCTTGCACAGTCATGAGGAGAAGCATGAAGGGACTATGGGAAGGTAGTTTTAAAAACTAAGGAGAAATCAGAAAAAAGTGTTCTGGACCTTGGTTGAGAACAGCACCTCTCTACTATTTATTAAAACAACCCAAATTTTTTCAGGCTTCTACATCAATAGGAAAACAAACAACTCCTAACATCAGTGAGCATTGGCAACCATTTGTGGGTGAAGGTTACACATAATGCAGCAGAAATTTGCTATTTTTAAAAGGAGGGAATTAACCTGGTTATCTAACAAATAATGCAAATAAAAATGAGCAGGGTGCCTCCGAAATTTAAATAAAAAAGGGGCAATCATTTGGTGACAAAATGCACTGAATCAGTAGATAGACTACAGTTTAATTTTTAAAACCACCAATTTAGATCTTTGTTCTTCCTGCAGAAATCCTGATTTCTGGCTGTCAAATAACAAGGCAGAGGATTGTCGGCATTTTTCAAGGATCTGCAGATCTTACTAGGAAAAGCATAAGTAGCCCACTCCTAATCTAGGACATTTGTAAACATAAATAGGAGCCCTAATCTTAATTTGCTTGAATCTTTCCTTTATTGTGCTTCCTCTCCTGCCTACCTCTGAAGCTCAGCTCACTGTCACTGACTCCGCAGTCCTCTGCAGAGCTCTCTTTCTCATGCTTGGTGCCTCCTCTGTTCCTCTTAACACTCTTGTAGAACTGGCCCCAACGATGTCGCCCAGCATCTTTCTTCAGTCGCTTCTCTTTGGCTCTTCTGTTTTGAAACCAGACCTGTAATCAAGTGAAAAAAGCAGTGAGAACAAGACCATTTTCAGTCCCACCACCTGAGAGTCATTGAAAAGAACTCTTTCATCATCCAGAAGATGGATAAGCATGATCTCATCTGGGAGAGAAAAGCCCTGCTCCTCCTATAGGGTGATTGCGTGGACCTTAGTACTAGCCCTCAGGTACCCCAGTTATAAACTGGGGGTGATAACAGCTTCCCTAAATTCTACTGGTAGTAATGAAATGACACCAACTGCAAAAACAAAAACAAAAAAATTTAGGCTAAGACATATGGCAGATGTATTAATAATGAATATCTAATACCTATAGTATCTATAATATGACAAAGCACAAATATAGATAGTTCAAAGTTTCCTACTGTGGACTTTTGGTGGGGGGAACCTGCTTACATTTATAGCTTAACAATATCAGATTTCACCCATAAGTAAGGAGTTTCAGGACCAGTCCAAGGAACTGAAATAAAGAGAAGCACTTCTGATTTAACCCTACATCATAAGCACATCATTATCCAAAGTCCTGGCTGATGTACAATAACAATCACTTTGTGTATATGTGTGTGTGCGCCTGGCCTTCCAGATCTATGTTGTGTCCAGGATGCTCTGTTCATTTGTTTTTTTCCCCAATACCATTTTGTGCTTTTGCATATGCTTCAAGATGTGCAGCAAAGTTTTCTGGGTCCCTTTTAACTGCACTAAGAAGTAGGAAAAGTCAGCATCTATAGCTGACACTGCTAATATTGGGGAGTTGGGGGGGGGGACTCCCAAGAGATGACTATAGCATAGTGGTGAAACCCGTATTTTTCACTACCAGCTCTGTGGGCGTGGCTTGGTAGACGTGGCTTGGTGGGCATGGCAGGGGAAGTATACTGCAAAATCTCCATTCCTACCCCACTCGGGGGCCAGCCAGAAGTGGCATTTGCCGGTTCTCCGAACTACTCAAAATTTTGGCTACCGGTTCTCCAGAACCTGTCAGAACCTGCTGGATTTCACCTCTGCTATAGCACTCTACCCTTTGTCCCCAATCAGAAGCCGTGAGAAGCTGTCCTTCCTAGCAAGAGGTTGTAGAAAGAGAGCAAAGTTCCAACAGTAGACCTCAGAGCAAAAGAGCTGATAAGTGAGTTTAGAAAATCAGAATTATAGTAGGAGAAACAATATTGAGAAACAAAATATACAATGCAACAGTGTGACCTCTTACTGAAAATTTAGATAAAGTAGATGGGAATTATAGATTCAGAACTACAGGCCTGAATAGGAAGACACTCTGTACATTTACTAATAGTACTTATTTTGAATAGACACCAAACAGGTAGAAGATTGAAACATCTGCAGAATTCTATAGAAACGAGAATTTACTGTTTTCCCACTTGGGTATTAAACTGCCCTGCAGAAATCTGACACAATTGTTAAAGGAATTATGTGCGTAGGATTTATTGATTGATTTAAAAGAGTTGTATGGCTGTCCATTTTAAAACACAACTCTAGGCAGATCACATCAGCAATAAAACCATAAAATCATAAAAAAAAACTAAGACCAAGAAACAGTTAAAAAAAAAAAAAGCTGGCACTTCAGTCATCTCCAAGGAGGCCCCAGCAGCCATCCATAATATTCCATTGCTATACCATATGCTGGGGGTAAAGAGCCAGGTCTTGATGGCCTTCTAAAAAGCTAGAAGGGGTGGGGGGCTTGCTGAATTGTGGAGGGAGGGTGCTCCACAAAGTAGGGGCAGCTATGGAAAAGGCTCATCTGATTCTAGTATTAGAGCTCCATCAACTTTACAAAGCTTAAGATTCTGAGATGTTATATCGCAAGATTTTGGCCTATGAGATAATAGGTTTCCATTTCTTCCTACATATTGCCAATTAGACTTAGCTATTGTCTTTCTCAAGAGAGGAAGGGAGATTTCTATTCAGAAGAATTGCTGAACAGATCATCTTAGGCGTCCGCATCCTTTAGCTTTGCATTCATTCTGCGATGACTTTAAATTTCGAATGTGTTCTCCATCACCTTGAGTAACTTTGAACCCTCCAAAAGAATTGCTGCAAACCAGCCAATCTTTTGAGTTGAAGAAAAGTCAATATTGTGTCAGGTGCTCACCTGTACAACCCGCATGTCCAATCCTGTCTCGGAGGACAGCTGTTCCCGCACATGTCTGGCTGGTTTGGGGGAGTTTTTATAGGCATTTTTTAATGTTTCCAACTGTTTAGCTGTGATGGTGGTTCGAGGCCTCTTGGCTCCAGCCTCTGAATCATCTGCAATGGAACAGTTTCCAGTTATTGTAGAATGTGGAGCATGAGCCAGAAGTCTGCCTAGAAGATGTGGGGAGTTTTGAAAGCTGACAAGAATGACCACATTCAGTTATATTTGCATCTTTTTATGGATACACTTAAGTATTGATGGATACACAGTACTAAAATAAACCAGGCTTCACTAAACTAATACAAGTAGTCCTTGATTAATAATGGCAATTGGGATAGGAATTAGTGAAACCAGTTCCAGGAGTCCTGGTTGCCACCATTAAGCAAGGGCCATATCAGTCATTAAGTAAGGACACATGATAATGTCTTCTGACTTGTGCCTTTCTGCAAGCTTCCCCATTCACTTTGCTTGGGGAAAGCTGGCACAAGTAACAATCACACAAGTGTGGATATGCTATGACAGCTAGAACTCCAGGGACCGGTCTTGGGTACCACTTGTTCAGCATTGTGGTAAATTTGAACAGACACTGAATGAGTGATTATTAGATGAGGACCACCTGTAAAACCAAACAGAATAAAGAGAGATGTGAAAAGATCTGTTTAGGCTGATGTTTACATAAGATAACTCAAGTGGCCACAGGGCAATATGTATCCTCAATATTTTATTTCAGTCCAATTCCATTTTTTTTCTCCGTCAATTAGTTCATTTATAGCTTCTGCACATATATTTCTGTTGCAATTTTAATGTCCCTGTATTTTCTACATAGAAAAATACATTGATTTGGGTTGTTTTCAATTAGATTCCAATCCACCAAGCAACATAAAGGGACTGAACGTGGAACAAGTACTATATCCAATTTATTTTTAAGGAAGGCAAATGTGATTATTCTGATATTTGTAGTCATTCTTGTCTTGTTATATCAGAGTTCCTATCTTGCTACTATGAATTATTTTACATTTTGATGGGGCTACTCATAAACCTATGCTCTTCAATAAAGGGGTGAAAAGGGGCATAAATAAGGCTTCTCAACTTCAGTAATTATAGTATCATTTTGACCAGGCATAATGGAACTAATCTGTAATTAAACCTACAATCTCAAAACTGTAGTAATTTTGGGCAATTAATCTAAATGCACCATTTTAATTCTCCTTTAGGTCCTGATAACTATAAGAAAATTATTAGTGCACTTTCATTGAGAGGTAACCATTTCCATCCGCAGTAAATACATCCAGAGCTAGAATTGCCAAGATGAAAGATATAGAATATAGATTTTTCTGAACTCATACGATGAATTTCAGACTTAGCTGCCTTTCTTCTAGTAACAGTTCCTTTCCTTGAAGCAAACCTCTCTACATACAACCCTCTAATTAACTATATATTGTTAAAAATATTTATATATATAAAATATGTCTTATTATAGCACCAGAACCTATTCTCCTTCTATAGGTGGTTAGCAATTGACTTTAACCTATATGCTGATAGTTCTCCTCTCCCCCGCCTCCTCCCCCTCCCCTTCCCCAAGCTCTGTGGGTTGCAAAACTATATTGTACTGAAGTCATTGATTACCCTGAGCCTATAATAGAAATTGAGCAACATTCAATCCATGATCTCTTAGCCTCCCTCTCCACCAATCTCCTTTACACAGGCAGGCATTGCATCACCCTAGCCAAATTGATTAGGTCAAAATAGAGTCCTTAATTAATGAGAAGTCAGGGCTTGTCAACATGAAATCCATTAAAGACCAGTTCAGTTTTAATTTCAGTCAAGCACTGTTGGGCAGTCTCTGTGGATTCATTAGCGTTGGTGATCTATAGCCTTTTTCTGTCTGGCTTCCTTGAACCCAGCCTCGGTTCTGTTGGTTTTTTTTTTACCTACAGTAAATATCGGCATTTTAGACCCTATACTGAAAAATGGGAGACTTTCTGGGTGAAGGGCCAGATAAACTAAAGTGCAAGAATGCAACTCTGCCGCTTTCAAGAGAGCTGTGCCTGGGATTACTTTCAGCTCTTGATCTTATTTTATGTACAGCAGCTTGAAATCAACAGAGATGATAAATATGCAAAGACCACTTTCTTGTGGCTCATCCTAATAAATAAAAATAAAATGTGTGCTTCGAAGCCCTGTACACTTCCCTTACTCCCAACCATCTGATATATACACAATTGTGAACGAGCAGAGAAGGGTGGAGGTGTTTGGGATGCTACACAAAAAAAGTAGAACTATAGGAAAATAATGTTTTTCTAGATGAAGCATCCATTCTGATAGGATGGTTCCAATTTTAGTTCCAATTTCAACATGCCTAGTTCACTTCACCTAATGTTGTATCAAGAGGTTGCACTGGCTTATGAGAATCATTTGTTATATTTCTGGAATTTTGCAAGCCAGTCCAAAGCATGGCTCAGTCACTACACCTTAGTGTGCCAATCTGTTGTTCTACAGCTAGTGGCATCAGAGCAGCAATGGAGCCAGCAGAGCCAGTCCTGAATCATTTACCAGCATGCCACTGATTATAACTGGCCAAAAAAAAAAAAAAAAAAAGCTTTCTCTGCACATAATCCTAGGAATAAAAGGGGGGAAAGGCTAAAACAACAAATGAGGCCAATCCAGATCTTCAATATAGTGCATTAGGCTCAATATGTAATCAGGACTTGGGGCAGAATCTGAGCCAACAATTGCATGCCATATTCTAGGTCACAAAAAAGTTGCAGTTGGCTGGATCCCTCTCCCCACCCCCCAGCATAACAACTGCAATCAGCAAGAATACAGCACCGGAAGTGATGGGTACTGATATTCCCTAGGTGGAGCAGGAAAATCTATGTTGTCTTCCAGTGCTGCATTGTTCTGTTTTCCAGTTCAAACAAGTCATCCAAAGTACCAAAGATGTACACGAGAGTTGCAAATCTCTTGATTCCCTCTCTCTCATTCACTCACTCGTTAAGATAGTTATGTGACCACTCATAAAACCAATTACAGTTGTAATGAAAGGGTATAAAGTTCCCTTCTCAGTTCCCTTCATTGTTTACACAATCTGATTGTCTCCACATCTACAAAATATTCTCTAGCCTGCTTTTAACATATGCCTAATTTAATCATTGATGGTCTATTAATGGTCTGAAAATAAAAGTGATCCAATTCTGTCCTCTTTCACATAATTTGTGCCAGAAATAACCCTCATTGACCTCTGTAAGCAGGTCTTCACCAACCTGAACAGGAGAGGAGACACTATGATCATAAAATCTGCCCCATTTTATCAAGGCCAGTATGCATTGTTCATCCCTACCGTTCTGTTTGGCTGTTTCATAATCCTCCTTGCAGACTAGGCGCCCATCTTCCATGAGATAAAACTCATCCCCTGTGGCAAGTTGGCGGTTGCAGATAATGCAGGCAAAGCAGTGCAGGTGGTAGACGAAATCCTGGGCTTTTCTGACCACCTGGGTGGGTGGGATTCCCTGTTGGCATGCTGTGCATTTTGTGCCAAAACGCCTGCAAAGGAGGGAAAAAAAGTGCCAATGCCTAGAAGCAGAGCAGGGAATGTACTATGTAGAAAAAAAAACACAATTATGATAACAGTCAGATTCAGGTTTCTAGGAAAATTTCTAATTTTATATTTTAACAATAAACGTCTGTTCTTCTGACTCGACAAATAAGCCCAAAGTAAGTGGGTATGCCTGCTTAATCCACAAAAAACAAGTATTTCAATGACCAAAGGAATTACTTAAACCCCACGTGTAACAAACATTTTCTTACAATGACCACCAAATTCAGAATGAATTGTACATCAGTCATTCATACAAAGACTTTAACTTGAATTTCTAGATGCAGAATTAGCTACGCCTGAAGTATTATTGTTTAATTGTAGAATATAAACTTATCTCTTGTTACAGAAACTCACAAAGTATATTATCCTTAGCAAGAAACTCTGAAAAAAGTGGCCCTTCAAAAGGAAGCAGAGGAAGGTGCAGAGTTGAAAACAGAAGCCAACCCGATCATGCACGACATTTGACACAGAAAATCTTTATCTCCTTTCATGTAAAACGACTGGGCTAATTGAAGGGTAGAGTTTGATGGTCCTTTTAGCTAAAGCTAAGGCAGTCTGTACAGTTACCCCCATAAGGACATAGGTATTTCATCCACATTAGTTCTAAATAAATTACTTGTGGTCACTGCCGGTAAGGTAAATTTAAGATTAATTTAAAGTGATAGAATCTGCAGGCTGCAATAACAGTGGCACTACACACCAGATGAGGAGCCGTCCCTAGGAACATCTTAGCAAATGTATCCTAAAATAAGAAGAATGCCTAGCACTGTTCTTTATTAAAGACAATGTCTCAACGACACTTTATGATAAGCTACAAATTATGGATGACAAAGCACAGTTGGCTGAATTTTCACGCTACTTTTCTTTCCACGAGAAGTTTAAGCCTTCCTTTAGTTAGCACCAGACAATTACCCCAGGGCATGGGGGAGGAGGCGGGGACTGCGGCCCAAAAGCACAATTTTGCTGGATTAGAACATGGGGGAGGAGGCGGGGACTGCGGCCCAAAAGCACAATTTTGTTGGATTAGAAATGATTTTCTGATGACAATCAATGGGTACTTGTGGCAAAAAAATGATTCTATAGATGTATTTACTTATTTATTTAAGTGGCTGCTATGTTTTCAGTCTCTTTTTTAATAATGCTAAATACAGTGTTTGACATTTCACCGCTATTGGCTGCCAAGTTGACACAGATGCTGACATGATTTGAACTTTAGCCATTGTTTTTCTTCCCCCATTTTCCTTCCATTTTTAAGCCTTATAACTTAAAAAAGAGATCTTTTTTAGAATGGGAAAGCATGTATAATTTTCTCTATTCGTCTAAAATGTACTACAGTACTTTTAAGTACAGGTAGTCCTCAGCTTACAACCATTTGTAAGTTACAACAGCACTGAAAAAAAGGACATGACCATTTTTCAAATTTACAACTGTTGCAGCATCCCCATGATCAAAATTTGTTCCCTTGGCAACTGGCATGAATTTATGACTGTTGCAGTGTCCTGGGTCATGTGATCACCTTTTGAGACCTTTTGACAAGAAAAGTCAATGGGAAAATCAAAGTCACTTTACAATCATGTTACTAACTTAACAACTGCAGTGATTCACTTAACAACTATGGCAAGGGAGATCGTAAAATGGGGCAAAACTCACTTAGCAACTGTCTTGCTTAGCAATGGGCTCAATTGTGATGGTAAGTTGAGGACTAGCTATATGGACTTTGGATTCCTCTGCTCCTTCCCTTCCTGTGGCCAAAACAAATATCTTGGCTACTTTTATTAAACGCCATCTGTCTTTCAAGGTTAAACTTTGCCAATACTCCAGATCCCATCCACAGAGATATTGGTAGGGGGAGTTGGGGGAGGAATTATGAAAACAACAGGGACACATGACACAAGCTCCTTCCTATTTGTACGTGCATTAAGATCCTGCCAACACCTCTGATTATCAATTTTACTATGGAATTAGGACTTCTTCCCATTGTGCATCACTTTATTTGTAGAGAGATTCATTCGACTTTTAATTTGCTCCATTTTTAAAGGACTAACTAAGCTTTATTGTTATACATTTTGGAAGTAGCAAAAAAAATGTAAATATCCCCAGGTTGGTTACATCTTTTTAACCCGAATTCTATACTGAATTGGAACTTTAAGCCAGACTTAGTGTTAATCAATCTGGATCAGAGTAATTGGAAAAGATGCATTTGTATTGTATAATACTTATCTTGAGACATTAAACCAACACTATGGAAACCTAAATTCAAGTTCATTTAATCACGGTACCTCACATGGACTGAATACTATTTCTTACCTCCCACCTGCCTCAAAGTATTGCTATTATGGGAATAATATTGAAAAAAGGAATATTATATATGCTGCCTTCACTCCCTGGAGGAAAGATGCAATCTAGCAAATAAATGCTACACTTAACTGCAGTGTATTAAGCCACATAATGCACCTGAAGCTATATCAATTGGAGGAAATGCTATCCTCTGATGCATGAATATACCTGCCTATAAGAATTACAAAATATTGGGTGAGCCCTATTATTCAGAAAAGTCCACCCTGAAATAGTTTGAAGCCTTGTACAGAAGCTGGCCATTGGATATTAACATAAGAATTAATCCCAACTGAAAAATATCATTCTCAGGTTAAAAGTTCACTTGCTATTTTTAAATGTTCTTTTAGCCTTCTAAGAGAGCACACAGATTATGTTGGTTGTAGCACTGTGTTAAAAAAGTGTGAGTGGAGAAAAATTCCAATTCAGTTGTAAACTTACTACAGTACACTGTTTTGTATGTTGTCAAACAGCAATATGAGAATAGGAAAACTACTTATCATACAGGAATGTTACAAGGGTTATTAAAATTATGTATGCTTATTCTTTAGGTTGCTCTGAATAACTGTACATAGAATCTTAAGAACAAAATGCATTGTATCAATGTACAATACAAAATCAAAAACAAAGCAGGCTTCAAATTACCATTGACATAAAATATATAAAATTCTTCATCAACCAGAATATTTCAACCAGAAAAATCAGCCACAATATTTCTCAAACTAAATAATACAATCAGGAACATTTTCTTTCAAATAGCCCTTGGATAACAATCCTCCTTAAATTTTAACTGTTCTTTATTGCCTTCAGTTTTCAATTGCTCAAGAGTCCAATTTCCAGGTTGTTCAGGACCCTGGTTGGGACTGCAAGCAGTACAGTTTGCTTCTTCACCAGGATAATATGTTTTCTGCTAAGCACATTAGTTTTTCTAGTTCCGCATGATGCACCATCCATTGTTTCCAGATCAAACACGAAGATAGTTCAATATTACATAAGTGGTGGGTTTCACTTACCTTTGCTACCAGTTTGTGCACGCATACACCACTTCTGCGCATGCGCAGAGCATATTTGATGACATCTGGGCAGATGGGCAGAGCCGCCCGCTGCCGCTGCTACCGGTTCTCCTGAACCGGGGTGAACCAGTAGCAACCCACCACTGCATTACATGAAGTCTAAATGTGTAGTTGCCAAAGTATGAACTACAAAAGATAATCAGGTATTTGTTACTACAATACTCATTTAGCTGTGTAATGTCATTTATTAATCTAGAAGCATTCTCAAACTACTGGCTTGAGAACCGGTGGAGTGGTCAACTAAAAGCAGCTATGTCAGTAGCCTACTGTGCTCACCTTAATAGTGTGCTGATCAAATTGCTCCTTGCTATTAGAAATTCTAACAGAGCATTCCATCAAATTTTGTTAATCTAAAAGCAAATATTTTAATAGGCCTTATCTTACAGGAAGCCACTGATACGTCACCATGTTCACCAACTTTAGTCTTCAATATATCTAGGTTGCAACCTCCTCACAGCTTACAGAAAAAGACTAACCCAAAGTACGTTTTGACCTGTGCACTGGCCTGAGGAAAAATTGAGGCAGTTTTATTGGTTTTAATGAGACCATGAAATTCTGAACCAGACAAAGGTTCTCTTGGTGTCAATGTTGGAGTCCTTCAGAATGACCAAATATGGGTTCTCCAGTATTATAATGGACAGGGAGGCTGTTGAGCTGTACAGTGAGTGGCCACTCCCAATTCTATCTTGCTCACTCATTTGAAAAAGTATTTCAGAGATTTCCTAGTAAATATAAACCTTTAATTATCACAGCAATGCCTCATCATTAGCTATCTAGCCTAGGCTTTTGCAGAATTGGAACTGCAGGTGGGAAAGCTAGTTGCTAGTTATCCAGTAGCCTTTTTATTCAGAATTAAGTTATGGATGAGGACAACTTTGTTATGAATTCAAGAAGCAGAGGACAATAATATCTCCAGGCAAGGAACCAAAAGCCATGAGACCAATGCAGGGGTGAAATCCAGCAGGTTCTGACAGGTTCTGGAGAACCGGTAGTGGAAATTTTGAGTAGTTTGGAGAACTGGCAAATACCACCTCTGGCTGGCCCCAGAGTGGGGTGGGAATGGAGATTTTGCAATATCCTTCCCCTGCCACACCCACCAAGCCATACCCATCAAACCACGCCCACAGAACTGGTAGTAAAAAAATTTGGATTTCACCACTGAACTAATGCATTAGAAAGAAAGGCAGGACCATTAAAAGAAAGAATCTGCATATTTGTGTCCTCTAAACAATGCCATGCCATGCCACCCCATCCCATGTATTTGCTTGTTTGTTTAACAAATTTATATAGCCAACCATACAGAGGTGACTCTTGGTGGATTACAACATCTATCCTTTTCTCAACCTGCAATCAGCTATATGTGTGCCTCTCATCTTCTGTAGAGGACTAATCTATTGGTCTCCAAAGCCCGAAAATTTAAGATAGCCAAGATGAAGAGTGAATAATTAATTATTTGAAGTACATTCAAATGTTTTCTCCACAGACTTTCTAAATAATCTAACCAAGTTAATTCGATTCCCTAATGATCTCTTTGCTAT